TATATATATAAACTACAAACAAAACAAAACTTTTTGCAGGAAATGCAGATTTTCTAGTTTTTTTTATTGCATCTTGTTTTTTTGTTGACCTTTTTAATGTTTTTTATTTTATCACAAGGTCGTTGTGATTTCTAGTTAAACCTAGATAAAACAGATTGTAGTTGTGAACTCAGGTGATGATTTTTAAAAGCCTAAATACTTGATTCTGCTGAGATCTGGTAAAGTTTTCCTCCTGACTTCCTGCAGCAGCCGCATCAGGTGGAAACTGCTCAGCAGAACGGAGCAGCGTTCGTCGGAGGAGCAGAGCTCGTTCAGCCTGTGAGTCCTGGTTTCACCCACATTATTTATCAGATTATATTTAATTCTTTAAATTAAACAGCTCAGAAACGTTTTCCTAATAGAAGAATAAATGATCCAAACTGAGAATAAAAACCTTTATAGTTTAGAAAATAAAATGATTTTCACGCCCAAAGACACATTGTAATAAATACTTTCATATTTATAATTTTTAACTTTTATGTACTTGAATACATACACACATATTCTCACATTACACTGAAAGCTTCATATTACAACTTATCTGATGTTATAACATTGTAACATTGAGTTTTATTAAATCATCTTCTGTTAAAATTAATCAGGATTTTATTCCTCCTCAGATTTTGGACGGGGAGATTTCAGCTGATTTCTACGTAGCCGTTCCTGAAATGCAGCTGAAGATTTTGCCACTAAAAAACAAACTGAGGAAGAAGTTCCCGAAGAGCAAAAGAGGTAAAACTTTTATGGTCGCTTATGTTTTGTTGTTGATTTACCTAACGAAAAAATTTAAATCAAATCAGTCAGTTTCTCTGTTCTCTAGTACATTTTGTTGAAGATGTTTGTCATTTGTGTTCTTTTTTTTTAATTAAACAGTTAGCTTTGAGCAGTAATACTCGCTAAATAAACTATCTTCATCAGGTATTACTCTATTTTCACTCAGGTATGGTTGGCGTCGACATTCCCAAGATGCTGAGCTTTTTTAAAAAGTGTCACAGCTTCATGGTGGAGAACGACTGCATCGTTCGGACGCAGATCGCCACGGTGCGTCAAAAAAAACAAAACAAAAAAAAAGTCGGGAGTTTAAAGGACCTGTGACATCGAATTTTTGTAATAAATATGAATGCATTTTTGGAAAGCTAACACTGAAAATAAATAGCAAAGCAAATTTCACACAGCTGAGATGAAGAGTTGTTGAGCTATTCACATGTGAAGAAACAGGAAGTGATGTCAAAGGGGAATGTCTGCATGTAGACAGAGCTTTACTACAAGCTTTAATACTTTCTTTAGATTATTTTGAGTCTGTCAGAGAGATGAAGAGTCAGAGTTCAAATAATATTTCTATAAACAAAGCAGGAAGTTAATTTCCTTAAAGAGTTCCCTTTTGATGTCACTTCCTGTTTGGTTTTGACCGAGACAAGTTCAAAAGAAAAATGCCATTTACGTGACTAAATGGGTAAAATCATATGTTTTATGCCAAGTTTCTTAAATATGAACATGGTTTCTTTAAGGATTTGAACGTCACAGGAACTTTAATTATTTCTGCGTTTGACAAACAGGACGTGTTTGTGAAGTCTCCATAACGGGAGCTAATTTCACGCTGTTTTCCTCTCCGTTTAGCTCGACATGCCCGCCGAACACATCATCGCCAACCTGCAAACCATCCTGACGGACGTTTGTTCGCATCGACCAGCAGACCTCGGTACGTTCACGCTAAACCTTCTAACACTGCCGTCTGAAGCCTCAGACACAAACCAGACTTCAGCCGATGCTCCGTCAGCTGTGCGTCGGCTCTGACCGCTCGCTGGGAGAAACGTCCCCACGTACATCGACTTGTTTAATTAAAACACTTTCAAGGTTCAGTTTTCAGCTCTGCTCCCAAACTAATAAACAGACAAGAATTAAAGCAGCTGATTTATCATGAATCCTTTTAGTTTTGTAAATTAATTTGAGCAAAACTGAGCTTTAGTTTTACGTCTTTCTGCTCATGTTATCAACTAAAAGCAGACAAAGTTTCTAAGTTTATTTTAAAAGCTTTATACTCTTCATTGATATTTAAATTCATTCTTAGTAAAATATACTTTAAAATAACTTTGACAGTAAAAAAGAAAAATGAAAAAACTGAATGGAAATACAAAAGAAGAAAATATACAAAATGAAACTTTATTTATCAAAACAACCAAAATAATTTCAATAGTTCATTTTAACACTATATATTAGTAGATTTTTGAGCCATTTCTATGTGTTTTTTATTCCAGAGTCCCGCAGTTTTAGACTTTTTGTATAATTTTTTTTTTAACTTTCTGAACCCTTTAGTTCCACATGAGTTTTAAATTAATGTAAATAGTTTTTATGGATTAATTATGGTTAAAACATGTACCAGATTAAATAATTTCTCTTTAAATGTTGCTTCCAGGATCTGGGTTCATGTTTATCAAACTTCTTAGAGTGGATTTTTAGACTTGAGTGCTGAAAATGTCTTAGATTTGTTCCTACTCTCAGACTTAGATGTAAAAGCAAGTTATCAAAATTCTTAAGTGTAAGAATCACTCTTACAAAATATTTGCAATTTTGCCTTTTTTTAAATAATTTATATATTTTTTTCTTTTTTAAAATGTTTTCTTTCTTCTTTTTTAAATATGGACCAAAGTTCTGTGTCTTTAATAAAGTATGAATTGAACTGAACATAATTTATATAGTCTTTGTGAAATTATATTTGTTGKTGAGGTGTTTACTTAGTAAATATGTGTACAAAACAAATGCAGAACTTATATTTATGTCCCGTGCTCCATACCAACCACTATTTGGTGCTGCACGTGCTGCTCAAGTCTGCACTGGATGCAGACTCGGTGTGGAGGGCTTAATCAGCCACTCGCCCTCGTATCTAACCGGTTTCAGATGGGACTTAATATTGCCAACCCTCCGCGGGAACGCGCAAACGGAGTAGGGAGTAGGTTGAGGGTGTAGCCACTGACTGGGAAAGGGCCTTACTCACAGCTTTTAACTAAGAATTTTTTTTTACACTTAAGTCCACTCTTAGCAGCATTCTTTTTTTTTTCTTAAGAGGAATTCTAAGAAGTTTGATAAATACAGAACCAGGGCCCGTATTTATAAAACTTCTTAGAATTTCTCTAAAGAAGGCTGCTAAGAGTGGACTTAAGTGTAAAAAAAGCCGAGCGTAAAAGTCAGCTATCAAGCGTCTCAGTCTTACTTTAAGCGAAGTGTAGGAGTAATACTTAAGTGTCAGTCTTACTTTAAGCGAAGTGTAGGAGTAATTCTTAAGTGTCAGTCTTACTTTAAGCGAAGTGTAGGAGTAATTCTTAAGTGTCAGTCTTAGAGCTGATTTGTGACACCTGGCTGTGCCGCAAAGCTGATCCTGGATGACGTCGTTAGAAAACCCCCCCCAACATGGACCAATCACTGCCTCGGATTTCATGTTTGAGATTATTGTTGGAGTTTCTCGGTGCGTTAATGAACTGCCGGGTCGGAGAAATGTCAAGATAAGACTTTGAAAATGCTACGATAATTTCACTTTCAACACACTAATGTTGTCACCTTGTATTGATTGTCTGTAGAATTATATAAAATGTCCTCATTTGCATCATGAGAACAGACGAAAATCTCAAAAAAAAGTTTAAATCAAAAACTCAGCAGCTTTAAAGTTGTTTTATGTCTCAGAGCCTGAGGTCATGTTGAGCTGCTCCCTCCTCTTCACCACTGTCTGCAGACAACACCGGCTTTACACACACACACACACACACAATGCACACACAACCCGCTCCATCTTCACCAGCTTGATCCGAGGGGAGCCCCACCACCACCCCGTCCCCCCGCACTCCATCATTGTATCACGTGATTCTTTATACAATGAAAGAAACGTTCAGTCCCACCGTAATCTATCTTTCTTTCTTTCTTTCTTTCTTTCTTTCTTTCTTTCTTTCTTTCTTTCTTTCTTTCTTTCTTTCTTTCTTTCTTTCTTT